CTGTACACTATGAAACAATGTTGGCTTCATAACTGCTTGGACTACTGGCTAAAATGCAGATTCCTGGGCTGTACCAAATTTGAGTCCCTGGGTGTGGGTCTCAGGAATCTGAATTTTATACAAACCTCCCACAGAATTCTTTTTTTTTTCCTTTCAGTTTATTGTCAAGTTGTTTTCCATGTAACACCCAGTGCTTTTCCCAACAAGTGCCCTCCTCCATGCCCATCACCACCCTGCACCCCCACAAAATTCTTTTGTAAAGAAAAACCTTAAAGACTGTGGAGCTATAAATTTTTAGCTTTCTGCTTTTTTGTCACACTGTACATTAGTACCTTTATCAAAGAACAAGCAATGTAATTAAAGCAAACACACGTCAGTTTCTACAGTTTGAATACAAACCTGTCATAAACCCTTACTTGACTTCTTTTTCAGAAGAACATAAGAAATTTTTTCTGGCCCTGAATATAACTAGGATTCCCACTGCTAGTCTCTCTAATTCTCCTCCCCTAAACACATGAAATATTGACATTTTCCCTTTGTAGTCCATTCATACACTGGCTTACTACTATTCATTCTGCTCTTTGTATATTTCATTTATGTACTAGTTTATTAGTAGTGTCTTAAACAATATGTTTTAAGACTTTTACAATGCATAGAATCTCACATATTTTAATCTGAATATTTAAAACAGGACATGAAGATATTCAACTCTATATTTAACAAATGCTTTTTGAAGATTTTTAAAAATCACATTTCTGTATTACCCCTTATCTGGAAAATAGCAGATTTGACCATAACTCTGTAGATCTCAATGGGATGATTTTTGTTGTCAAAGAGCAGCCTTTTCAATCACCAAGTGCCAGAGAAATGAAAACAAAGATAACTGAGTCTTTCAATAGTATAACTGGTTGGCTTTCTGATACTATTGCTCATTTAGAAAATGAAAAATACATGTTATATAATCTAACAGTAGATATACTTTCTCATTGATCTTGAAAAGTAGTTAATTATATAAGAAATGTTCCAGGTTTTTGAAATGAATTCCATAAAACCTATGTTCCTTTAATTGGCTTTTTCTTAATGGAAGCCATTTTATGTTGACATGTAGGAACCATATCCTACTATGTATTCAATTAAAATTTCTACTTTACACTATTACACACTTCTGAATATTAATGAAGGTTCCCCTTTTTCTTATATATGTCTTATATTAAGTATTTTTTAACTTGGCATTTAACGTAAAAACTATTCAAATTTTAAGAGTAGTGGGAATAAATTATTCTAAAATGCTTTTCATACTTTTTAAAAAAAATCAATCGTAAATCCATTACCATTAGTAAATACAAGAACGGCTTTGGTCCTACTCTTCATTAACTCAAAAAAGCAACCATCACAGAATAAAGGGGTTACTCAAAAATCTCACAGGGATTTCAATTTTATTAATAATTAAGTAATATATAAGTTTAGATATATAAACTCATTAATTCCACAGGATAATAGGATACTGAGCACTACAGTTAAAAACATGAACACAACTCATAAAGAGGTAAACTGTCAATTTCTGTTATTATAATATAAACAGTAATTGCTATTTCATTTTAAATGACATTAAGAAAGGTACTGGTACTGATTTTACTAACAATTGTTCATTTTTGTTTTGTTACTGGGTATAAAAGAATGGCAAAAAATGTTACATGTGCAGGATGATAATTTTTAACAATTACTGTATGAAAAATACAAGTAACTCTAGGTATTTATTATTTCTAAAATTTAGAACATTAATATAGCCATACTTTAACTATAAGAGCAAATGCAAAACAATTTCAATTATATATGAGACTTGTGAGGCGAATTAAAACAGAACAATCTCATCTTAATTAGGTATAGGCATTTAAAAAATTTTTGACCCTATAGTAACCTGGGCTCCTCCCTCAAGTTACAGAGCCAAACACCAGGCTGATCATAGAGCTGGATCAGAAAAGTGTCACGACATCGTGGATGTGTGTAAGGACCATGAACATGAAGTTTGAGTGCAATCTCCACATCGCAAAGCCAGATATAAATGGTTCTTTGTGTATCTCCCCTGCATTAGTACAGATAATTGCCAATTGCCTATAATTTAATCACCTGAACAGGCACTAAGTTCCAAACTACCAAGATAAGTCACAGGCAAACTATGCTTTAACAAAAATTACACAACTGTGTTAAGTGTTTTTCTTAGTCTGCTTCCCAGTAGGAAAGAAGCTTTTATATTAGTTGGCTTTCAGAAGGCAATTTGGCTGTTTTCTTCTAAGAAACAAAAATCTGGAAACCTGCCATAGCTTTCAGAAAACTTAACCCACATACAAAACAAAACAAAAAAGAAACCAGAAGTTCCAACATAAATAAGGGTTACCGTATGTCTCTTTAAATATTATAAAAGAACTATTAGAACAAGACTGAAGGTTTGCTGGATACTAGATGTGTCAGAATCATAATTTTATACTGCATAAGCTAAAAGTTATAGTCGATGCATGATATTATGCTGTTTCAGTAATTTCAGTAATTCAAAGGATCCATAAATAAAACAGAGCAACTTCTGCTAAAGAAAATCACTCAGAAGAAAATTACTTAAAGCAGAAAACAACTGGAGCACCTGGATGGCTCAGTAGGTCAAGTGTCTGACTGTGGTTAAGGTCACGATCTCATAGTTGGTGAGTTAGAGCCCCATGTCCAGTTCTGTGCTGACAGCTCACAGCCTGGAGCCTGTGTCAGATTCTGGGTCGCCCTCACTCTCTGCCCCTCCCCTGCTCATGCTCAATCTCTCTCAAAAATAAACAAACACTAAAAAAAAAATAAAGCAGAAAACAATTAAAACAGGAAAACTCAGAACCAAAATATTTTCATTGAAAAGGCTTCTGTTGAGTTTTCTCCATACTGAACAGCATTCACTGTTAAGTTGTATTTGCATGGTGGTACCAGTATGATGACCTAAAGTACATTTTAGTATTTTATCACCACCCTATGTGAGATAGATAGGGCTTGGCAGAAATTAAGAAATGGAAGCATCAGAACTCTTAAAGAACTTGATTAAGGACCTTTCTCTAAAAACAAAACAAAACCAGGGCACCTGGGTGGTTCAGTGGTTTAAGTGTTGGACTTCGGCTCAGGTCATGATCTTGTGGTTCAAGAGTTCAAGCCCTTGTGTCCAGCTCCATGCTGACAGCTCAGAGCTTCGAGCCTGCTTTGGATTCTACGTCTCCCTCTCTCTACCCCCTCCCCGACCCACCCCTCATACTCTGTCTTTCTCTCTCAAAAATAAATAACATTTAAAAAATTACCAAAAAAATAAAAAAAACCCAAAAAATAGGGTAAATTTGTTCTTTTTAAAAAATTTTTTATTTTCAAAATAAAAGACAGAGAGAGACAGAGTGAACAAGGGAGTGTCAGAGAGAGAGGGAGATACAGAATCCAAAGACAGGCTCCAGGCTCTGAGCTAGCTGTCAGCACAGAGCCCGATGCAGGACTTGAACCCACAAACCGTGAGATCATGACCTGAGCTGAAGTCGGACGCTTAGCCGACTGAGCCACCCAGGTGTCCCTAAATTTGTTTTTTGACCAGCACATGCAGTCTTCACTCTATCACAATTAGTAGATGAAACAGGCAACTTCGAATGATGGCAGATCAAAACTTGAACTCAGCTCTTCTGAAGTCAAGAACCAATGTTCTCCACAGATAACACAGTTATCTAATAAATCTCAACTTTGCTGTGCCACTCCTTTCCAAAGAGATAAAGATCTTAAAGTCCACAAGGAGAAGTTATAACTTGCCCCAGATTACCAAGCCCTATAATGGCAGAGAGAAGCCTAAAACCCAAATCAACTGTAGCACTCTGTATGGAGTCTCTCTTACCCCTGCACTAACTTAAAATTTTTTTAAAAAGATTTTAAGTAATCTCTATATCCAACATGGGGCTAGAATTTATAACCCTGAGACCGAGAGTTGCATGCTCTACTGGCTGAGCCAGTCAGGCTCCCCTAGAAAAAATGTTTTTAAGACCCAAAGGCATTCTCTTTGATTTTAAATTTATTTTCTAAATAGATATATAAAGGGGAAAGTATGAGACTGGCAACAGAATGGCAGAGGAATTAAAGATGAATTAAATGAATTCCTTTAAGCTAACAGAGGAGTAAGTAACAACTGCAGGTTTAAGGGGATCATTATAATCTTTAATTCAAGCCACTGCACACATAAGATCACAAGGAGGGCAACCATATTAATCACATTCTCTGCTACCTTTAAGGACAAATGACTTGGATGTCATGCTTTAGATGCTCGGAGGTGAAGATATTCCTGGTCTAAGAAACAGAAGCTGCATTTGACCCTATGGTTGTTGTGGTGGTGTTTTTTTTTTTTTTTTTTTTTTTTTAAGCAGCTCCTTATTACTGGAATCAGCCTTAAGGGACTGCTGTAAAAGGGAACTATGAACACAGGATCCAAATTTCCTTTATTTCAAGTAAATAAGGACAACTCCACTGCTTTGTAAAACAGGTCTTCCTGGAAATCCACTGAATCGGGTGAAATAGGATAGAGTTTCAACCATATCTTACAGAAGGTACCTTTGCAAATCACCAAACTATTACAAAATGCAAGTACGCTGACTATATCTTGCAGGACAGTATAGACGAGTGTACTAAGGACTGCATGAAAGAGGGAAGAGCCTTAACACAAACCAACAATCAAATATCTTATCAGAAACAATGGGAGAGGGTGACTGGCTGGCTCAGTGAGTAGAGCATGTGACTCTTGATCTCAGGGTTGTAAGTTTGAACCACACAATGGGTGTAGAGATTACTTAAATAAAATCTTAAAAATAAAAAGAAACAAAGAGAGGGGATTAAATATATATTTATGGACTTTTATTTTCAAGGAAAACCATGAACTTAAAATTAAATATTTATATGTGTCTATTATACATATATATACAAGTTATCTCCACATCACATATTGGTGAACCTACCTGTGTATGTGATCTTGGCCAGAAGGGACTACACCTACATTGGCTACATTTACAACATTTTGAAGGATCACAGAGGGAGTGAAATTCTGGGGTGCAGCAATGATTACAGTAGAAGTTTCATTCATTCCTGTTAGCATTCCTGTAAGAGCAAAAGAAGGCTCCCTTTTACTTATGAAAATTACATTAAAACAATTTCAAGCCCATTGCCAAAATGTAAAGACTTAAAATACCCACTTCAGAATATAGTTTTAAAGATAATCACAGAATTAAAATAAATGCAAATGTTATAAAAAATTTTTAATCCTTACTGTGTAGGAAAGCATGTACAAATGTAGTGGAACATCACCCTTAATAAATGTGATTTTCAACACTCTAAGATAAAAATGCAGAATCACAAAGATTCTATTCAGTTTCAGTCTCTTTAAAATATACTCAATTAATCTGGACTATGTCAACTATTTAAGCTTTTACTTTTTAAGAATTTTTATTCTTCTCCTTTTCATTCAGAGATCTCTCTTGCCAAATGTTGCCTGAGTACAAATCAAAGTGAGTCTGGAATAACTAGCAACATTACCTGACGAATGGCCTCAACTGATGGATCAAAGTTATCTCAGCAGTGACTGCAAGTCACTGAACAGTTATGTGGTTGTAAAAAATGCACACGTATCTAAGCAGCTATACTTAGCGATAATAGTATTTGCCCAGTGAATGGAACTATAGAGTTAATTAAAAAACACCAATTGAAATTTCTGAAGCATAGCGTTTGAAAACAAAGGGAAAAATGTGAAAGGAAAACCTTAAATTCTAGAGACATTTTAAATCAGTATTTAAGAAAAAAAAATAAAAGTAAGCAAGATCAGGAACAAAAACCCTAATACAGAGTTAACATACGACCTGCCATTAATATCAGAATCTCATGTAAAAATGTTCAGTAAACAAATTCAGTAACATACCAAACACTTGGAACAAATAATGAAATTAAGTACCTAGGTTAAAAAAAAACCCCAAAATAATTATAATAAATGCCACCGATTTGGACCTGTGATGTGAGCCATCGACACCTAATGGTATCTGGTAAAAACAATAATCTTTTGAGACATTTGGTATGTGCACAATAGTTCACAAAATTTATGAAAATAGCGAAACTTGATTTTATGTTTTCAAAAGGCCCTGAATATTCAGGGCTATGTATTTAATTCACTAATTTATTGCAAATGCAACCTGAAATTTACAAGATCCCCTATGATTAGCAGCATGAAGACACAAGAGCCTAATACTGTAAAATGACTTCTCTAAGCTTTTAACAAAGAGCAGTTTTTACTAACCACTTTCAAACTCAGGGACACTATGTTCTGTCTTAGACTGTTTAACTTTAATATTAGGCAAAAGCTTTAAAAACTACACAAGCAGTCAAACACTGCTTTTAAGTAAAGCACAGCGGCTGCTGACATAACACTGCTGAGAGATGTGTGTACTCATTTAGGATTTAAACCTTCTCCATTAAGCTCTATTGAAGAGCAACTGCTGAATAAATGAATGCAACTATGTTTATGTTAAAAGCCTGTTTCCCGCAGCATGTAATTAAAGGAAATGTTGTACAAAGCCAGTACTTTTGTCAAGCTCCTGTAAATGGAAAGATGGATAGCACTCAGAGAAGTGAATGCATTGCTTCATATTTAACCTTAACACTCTTGTCATTAATGGTTTGTCTAACTTGGTCTATAAAAGACAAGGTACTGCTCCATTGAAGTAAAATTTAAAAAATCAACTAAACCATGCTTTTCAGAACAGAAGATTCATTATCGTCAGCTAATGTATTGGCATAAAGCAAAGTAACATCCTATCAAGTAAGGCACACATTCAATCTGCCTTCCCACCCCCCTTTATTTTTAACTCATGCTGTTTTATTGTTATAGGCAATTTGTACCACTCAGCATGACAGTGTAAACTGAATCAAGATTAATTTACATGCAAAAGAACACTTAGGAGAGCAGCATGGTAAGCAAATGTATTGTCTCGATTGCTGAGGTGGAAAAAGAACCTGGAAAGAAAAAAAGGTGCTCTAATTAAGGGGCATCAAATATGATTGCTTGTGGTAGTTAAGGGCCAGAAAATAGTAAATGTCTGACCATTTAAAGAATTAGCATCTTGCTAGCTAGGAAACCATAAGATGGATGCATAAATCATAATAAAATTAAGTAAACATTCTAGGTTTCTTAAACCGGAGATTTTTCTAAATGAAAATATATCAGGTATTCTCAAATTACCGAGAAAGAAAAATATGCCAAGGTATCATTAAAAGTTTCTCCCCTAAAAAACAGACATTAGATACCATATAGCCTGCTCGTACATAACAAAGTTGAAGTTACCAGGAAAATATTTTAAAATTGCCAGACTATAGAATTCGTTGTTCCATTAGAATTTATCTAAATTTTTGAGAGGCAGTGGACAGAGTACTTAATTTAGGGTAATCAGCTGTCATTAACTGCTAAAATGTAGACCACAGAATATAAGAAAGCAGAAGTAAAATTAAAATTTTTTCCTAAGTTTTAGATTTCCAATTTAATTCATAAGAAGAAAACGAGTGAAAGGAGGCAGTTTGGAATAAATAGCCAGCTTACATCTCTTATAATTAAAACTGCTTCAAGAAACCAAATTTTTAAGAGAGGCTCTCATGTTGTTTACAGTACTGAAATCATCCCACAGCTAGATTATAAACTGCAATGCTCAAAACTCATAGCAATGAAAAGAAATTCTGCTTCTGGTTTAGAGTTCCTAATATGAATACTATAAAAAAGTCTCATATATAGGGTGAACCATTCTTTCCTTCAGCACTTTGACTACCAACCTGATAAACATGCACATTTAGCCATGGAACTCTAAATGCAACAACTGAGGAAAAATGAGAGATCAGGCATCATATCAGAAATAAAAACTTTTCATTAAAAAAACATTAATCTACTATGTACAATCTGTTAGAAGTGTTCTTATTTAATGCTGTACAAACTTTTAAATTATATACGCCTTTAGTATAAAAATAGAAATGCTTTTTATTTATAATTTTTCTGGTGAAACCCTAATTATTGCATTTAATGCACTTCTTGAGTCTTAAAATATATGCCCTGTGAAATGAGATATTAAGTATCTAAGTTCATTATTTAAATTAGAAAAATTACATGATGTAATGTAAGCATGTGTAATGAAACACACAGGTACTTAAATTTACTGGTATTTTGCCATCCAGAAGTTTGCACTGATAAAATGTGAGGAAATGGATGTTTATTCTGACTGAAGATTTTTCAGGTAGGGAGTCCTTTCTAGGTATCATTTGTTGAAATAAGCTAAGGTCTTCCTAGAGGAGTATAAAAAACAAGTACATGTGTAAAGTTGAGAATTGAGACCTCGATTACCAAACCAGCTGAAATCTCTAACTAAAAAGATACTATTGAAAAGACTCTTTAAAGCTGTGGTAAATTTGCCAGCATCAAGTCCCATATCAAAGAATGAATTCAGGAAGACAGAAAGAATGATACAGAAATGCCAAGAGACTTACAAGGATTTACAAATACTTCATATAAACAAATTTTCAAATAGCTTTATTCAGAGTAGCCTTTCTGCTCTATTAAACATAGCAAACAGCTGCCAGATTTATTCAGACAAATAATCAACAACCATAGAAGTAAAATGGCAGAAGAAAAAGGAATTTTGGCAACAGGTCCACAGAGGACCACAGCTGTTCTCCACGAGCACCTCTCTCACGCGCTTACTGTTCTGTATGGCTAGTCAGGGAAAAATCCCTCGGTCACAGCAGAGCAAAGAACACTTCATCGAAATAGCAAGTATTCTAAACCAAAGCTGAGGGACAGAAAAGGCATATGATAATCGGCTGCTTTAGATATACTTTAGCTGCACTTTTCAATAAAGAATACCCCCTTAACAGTAGAGGTGCCAAAGCCTTATTCAGTCACTTGTGTGCCACTCACCTGGGTCTGCTGGGCGGGTGTAAAGCAGAGAGGCAGGCTTTAGCCAGCAAAGGGTAAGAATAGCAAATGTAAGCATCAATTTGTCAGCAGAAAAATAAAATCATAAAATCACAAAGGTGTTTTTCTACTACAGCAATAATCAACTTCCAAGATTAGCAAATGCAAACAGGGATTTAGTCATTCTTTTTTATCATTTAAAAATAAGGCAGAAAATTAAGGGTTAGTATTAATTTACAGTCTTGTATGAGATTTTCTTTGTGAGATTCTTTTACAACCGGTTTTTTGAACACCATGGACAGCAACGGCTTACAGGAAAGAAAAATCTTTGGCACTGTAATGACAGAGTGCCAGGAAGCATGTGTTTCTCCTTAGGTATAGATATTTGTATGTGTCCAGTACTTTCTGGAAGCATGACAGATAGGATTTAACGACCTCAAAATGCAGGAATCTTTGTATGATAACCCCTTTAGAGAGAAAACCAGTCTACTTTCACAAAAACTTTACCACTATGTGACTATACCACTTACATATGCCCTAGTTCTGTATTATCTTTAATTAAACACACAAACTCATAGTTATTTCCCTTTATTCATACAAGAAAATAAAATATATTTTTATTACTAGGAATGCTGGACTCTGGGGCAAGCACAACATATTAATACTTTCATCCTGCAGAAAATATTTTCTTCTTAAGTCCATATTTTAAAATATTTCAGCTCTGATACGGGCTCACATCATAGCATTTCTTTACTACAGAATCAGGTCAGAAGAAAATGGAGGTATTTTAATGCTATAATTTTGAAGGGTGAGGCACTCCCAAGTGGCAGGGAAAAATAAATCAGTGAGACATGAAAAACAGTTCTATAGTGAAAGAAAATACAGAGGCATAACATGTAGAGGGGTAGAACTTCAGTAAGTCTCAAATCCCTCACATTTTCCCTAACACAAAACACAAAAGCACATCATTAGGTTGACAAATCTACAACTCCTAGAAACGAAAAGTTAATTAAGAATCAATTTATTATTTTAAAGACATATTAATCAATTTTCAAGTATGCCAGGGATATAGACAAACATATAGTTTCAAGGTTATTTTGTAGAAGCAAAGGATTAGCAAAAACTGGAGGATTATGCACTGATATCTGTTAATGGCTACGTGTATGTGGTAATTTATTTTAGAGACCGGCCAGAAGAATGAGCACATATTATTTGGGATGTCAATTTCTAGTAAACTGTAGTAATCTCTCACCTTGCTCTTTCTTAAAATCTTTCTCTGACATGGCCACAGGTAAAAGCAGCTCTCCAACAGGTGGCTGAATATTAACATTGAAGCAATCGTCCTTGGTACTAAGAGAAAAACACATCAAAGCTGACCAAATGCTTAATAAATAAACATTCTCCTTAATACTATGCAGTTAAATAGATGTAATTAAAGCATATGCCATCATATAAAGTATAAGATCTTCTTGGCACAGCTAAAAATGTCTCAACATTATTTTCAGAGAGATACATCTGTTACCTCAATTAGAAAACACATTTTTTTAAACAAAAATATGCAGTTATCATAAATACATCCTTTAATATTGATCTTTTAAAAACAGGTGAGCACCAAGGGCACACATACCCACTACCAGAGGAACACTTCATGCAACTTATAGAGTAGAGAAGTAATATTTTCTCTTTACTTTGCATGCTTAAAGTGTACAAAACAGAGTGCTTTAGCCTTAGATTGTTAAGATCTCTTATTAAAAATATTAGTTTAGTAAAAAATAAAATGGAGTGACATTACTGTGTTTAGATATGTGCTAATAAAATAATGCCTCATCTGCAAACTTGCTTTTTAAAACAAAAACTCTTATTTTTTAGTAGTGTTATTCATTTTTTTAAGTTTGTTTAATGTTTATTTA